CCATCGATGCAAGCATTTTAATTCTTAATTCAACATTTCCCCCCAAATACAAATGTTTTTTTTATTTATATACTAAATGCTAGAATTTTAATAATCTTAATCATAATCATAATCTGTATGTGTATATGTATATGTGAAAACTTATAAGAAATTTAGTAATTATCTATACAATGATGAAGAATAATAATTGAGTTTGGTAGGATTAGAGTTAATTGTTTTGTTAATTGTATTTGTTTATTATAAATAATTGTCCTTTTAAAAAAAAAAAAATCTAAATACAAGTATGTTTTTTGTATGTAATCATGTAGATAAGATTTTGTTGACATATGTGTTATAAAACAATATACTTTTTTATATACTTGATTCTTAAATGCAATGTAAAAAAAATACCTTTAATAACATATCTCCTCTTCTTCATTTTTTTAAAAATAATTTTGAACCCATTTTTTGAAGAAATTTTTATGAGTAAAATTTTGAAAATAAAGAAAAATGTAAACCATCAATAATAATAGAGAATAATAACACTTGGATTCTTCAATTACTTTTTTTTTTTTTTTTTTTTTTTCTTGTTAATAATAATATCTTTGGAATTTTTCACATTCCTATTTACTTACATGAATCATGTCATGCTTATTAATTTAGAAAACTTAATTAATAAATATTAGTGTTAACTTAAGTATTGGTCAAAAGATCAAAATAAAAGAGTATCTATAGATTGATACTGTATAAATACTGATTTACTTTACTAATTTAATTAATTATGGATTTGATGAATAGTTATGATAAATGAACAATACTACTAAATCTGTACTGCAACCAAAATTTCCTGTGTGTGTAGTTTTTAACCTTTTTTTTTTTAACTTGAAATTTTTGGAACGTTAAAAAAAGGTTCATTGATGGCGGTGGAAAGAGCATATGCAACTACTAAGCTTCCACTTCCTTATCCCATGAATCATGGAGAAGACGTCGCTTTGAAATAATTAGTAGAGACAAGGAGACAAATCTATCAGTTAGATTCTAAATTATCGCGCCCCCACCCACTCTTTCCTGTCCTGTCCATCCAGTTTTTTCTCCATTTTCTTTTCATACTTTCTCTATAAAACCAGACTATCTCTAGACCCTGCTTTTCAAATTCTCTGTAACTAGCAAGCTTACCCATTTTGAAACTCTCTCTTGGGTCATCTTCCTTGGGGTTAAGAATGGCAGTGGCTAAGGCTAAGCCACTTTTGCTTGCTTTCTTCTTGTTGATCTCTGGAGCTGCTCTTGGAGCTGTACCTTTTGAAGGTAATGCTTTTAGAATTGCATTAGCTTTTAAATGTAGAGTTTCTATTGGATGCATACTTCTTACATTGTGGGTTTTAGTTGAATGACTGATAAATGGCTTTTGTTGGGAAAAGTTTCTATCTTTCTCATCATGGTATTCTGTAGGATTAGATCTGTTACTTAAGAGGATTTCTGAACTCAAATTTGCTTTCTCTTGTCCTGGAGCAAATGGTAGCTTGATCTGCTGTGAGATAAAGTTTTTAGCTTCTTTGTTTCCCATCTACAAGCTAAATGGCAGCTTGCGTCTGGTTTGATCTGTGAAATCTTTTGTACTAACTGAGTTTTCTCTCTCTGGGTCAGGTTTGATCTTGAAATCTTGTGTACTAACTGAGTTTTCTCTCTTTGGGTCTGGTTTGATCTGTGAAATCTTTTGTTTGCCGTCTTTCTCTTTCTGGTTCTTTCTTAACATGGAATGTTTTGTACTAACTGAGTTTTCTCGGGATGTGGGGCCATTTTTTGTATATAGATCTATTATAAGCTTCATTTTCATTCTTATATACTGTGTTTATCTTTTGTTCTAATGCTTGATTTGATATGTCTACAAAGTGTTTGATTCTTTGTCTGGCTCAACTCAAATCTTTCAAAATTGATCTTTTTCTCTTGTTTCTCCCTTCAGGCTATTTGGCAAATGGAAACTTTGAGGAGAGACCAAAAGCGCCAGACATAAACAAAACAGTTCTCTTAGGTAAAAATGCTCTTCCAGGATGGGAAATCATGGGTCTGGTTGAGTACATCCATGGTGGACCTCAACCAGGCGGCATGTTCTTCACCGTGGCTCGCGGCATCCATGCCGTGAGGCTTGGAAATGAAGCCTCAATCTCTCAAACCATACATGTAGAACCAGGTTCACTGTATGCACTCACATTTGGTGCATCAAGGACTTGTGCTCAAGATGAGGTTTTGAGAGTTTCAGTTCCTCCTCTAAAAGGGGACCTGCCTTTACAAACATTGTACAGCAGTGATGGTGGTGATACATATGCTTGGGGGTTTATACCCAAATCTGATTATGTCAAAGTGATCTTCCACAATCCTGGGATTCAAGAGGATCCTGCTTGTGGTCCACTTTTGGATGCTGTTGCTATCAAGAAGTTAACTTTTCCGAGGCCCATCCCAGGTAACGATTACCATTCGTTTCCTTTTCAACATGCTTATTTTCGGGTTCAAAGAAACTTAAAATTGTTTACTTTGTTAGATCTTTAGTTATCTAAGGATCTCTTTTTGTTCCCTTGATATGTACATTCACAGATACATATATAGTCATTGATCATGGATTGCCCCTTTACATTATTTGTTAAGAAAAATTATCCTAAATATGCACACAATCGTAGAAAGTAAGAATAGAAGAAGAAAAGACACATGATTTTTACGTTATTCGGCAAAGGTGTCTATGTTCACTGGCAAAATTGAGAAGAAGTTTTCACACTATGATGAAAAATAAAGAGTATCTCCACCAATAAAGTTACTAAGGTTTTTCTGAACTCTAACATACTCAAACTACTAAGGTTTTTCTGAACCAATCTTCAACTAGTTGTAATGTGACCAAAATACCTAGAATATTTAACATGACCAAAATATCCAGGATACTAGTCAAATTGAAATTTAAGCCACTTCAATATTATTGTACTTGTGATGAGCAATTACCTGGATAATGCATCATTATCCTCTTTTGTTGAAGGTTTGGAATTTAGAACTTGATTTAATTTTCCAACCATTTTTGGTTGTTGGCCAGCTTGGTAGGAGTAGAGGTCTTGTTTGGGTAATTTTCATATTCTCTCTGCTTTGAAAGGAAGTATTCTCTGTAAAACCTTATAATAATATGCAAGGCTTGATCATGATTTGTGTTTTCAGGTAACTTGGTGAAGAACCATGGGTTTGAGGAGGGTCCTCATTCCCTGGAAAACACTACAAATGGTATCCTCCTTCCACCAAAACAGGAAGATCTAACATCTCCCTTACCCGGCTGGATCATCGAGTCACTAAAAGCCGTGAAATTCATAGACTCAAAGCACTTCAATGTCCCCTACGGACGAGCAGCAGTAGAACTCGTAGCAGGAAGAGAGAGTGCCATTGCCCAAATCCTGAGAACAATAACTAACCAAACCTATACCCTCTCATTCAACATTGGTGATGCAAGAAACGGTTGCCATGGATCAATGATGGTAGAAGCATTTGCTGATAAACACACGCTGAAAGTTCCATTCACATCCGAAGGAAAGGGTAAGTTCACGGCAGCAAGTTTTGAGTTCAAAGCAACCTCAACCAGGACTAGAATCACATTCTTTAGCTCGTTCTACCACACCAGGATTGATGACTATGGATCTCTCTGTGGCCCCGTCATCGATGAGGTTCGAGTCTGGCCTGTCCGTTAGGTTGTTAAGTTCTAGTAACACTTTATGCAGAGTATGGTGAGATACAAGTTTGTAAAATATTTGAGGCTTCTGATATCTTCTGTTTTGATTATCAAGAGTCTTTGTTGTCTTGTAGTTTAAATTTTTAGCTTAAAAACATGCCAGTGGACATGCATAAAAATTGAAGTACCAGAGATATGAAATTTCCTGTTTTGGAACTTCTCTGCATGTTTAATCTTCTCGCTTTCTTTTGGAGGATTCTATACGCGAATATACAACACACACACACACAGAGACATATATATAAAACATTTAGTGTCTCCTAAAGTTGTAGATTCTTAGAGTACCATGGCATATATATATACATATAAATGTAGATGGACATAGTATACAGATTATATAACCTATTCTTGGGAGCTTCATGGTAAGTACATCTAGTGAATACACATGATATATATACACACACACACACATATATAAACATTTAGTGTCTCCCAAAGTTGTAAGATTCTTGGAGTACCATGG